TACACCGATCCTTAGTAAAAAAAAAGAAGATCAGAGGGTAGTAAGTGCTGCAGAGAGTTTTAAAAGGGTGACAGGATGTAGAATGGTAGAATGGCTATTTTGTATTGTGGGCCTGGACACGGACATAGTCTCTCTCAGGAGGTGATAAGCTGACACCGGATGAGAAGAGCGGGCAAGCCTAGCGAGAAGCTTGGAGGCAGGCAGTGGGGGTGAGGGGATGGCAGAGCAGGGAAAGAATCCTAGATAGAAATGGTGGGGCAGAACTATGCTCAAGGTGGATGAAATGAGGTGCTGTATGTAGAGTCTAGCATCATGTTTGATGGGTGGGGAGAGAAAAAGAGAGAGGGAGGGAGGGGAAGAAAAAGGAAAAGTAGGAGGCAGAAAGAGAAAGGAGGGAGAGAATGAATGAGAATTTTCAGTCCTGAATGGGTGAGCTCTCTAGGGGAATTTACTTGTCTTTTTGTGTAGCTTTGGACTCTGTTTTCTCTTCTTAGTTGCAGTTATTACTTGGCCCCATTCTGCTTATAATAAGCAGAGCTATTATTTATTAAGAGCCTAAGTGAGTCATATTCATTTATAGGTTTTATATACATTCCCTCATTTAATCCTTACAACCTGAGGCAGGTTATTATCCTTATATGCTTCTTCATAGATGAGAAAACTGAGGCCCAGAGAGCCTATAACTTGAGAAAGATGAACCATCTAGTAACTGGTAGAGCCCAAACTTCAGTCCAGGCTGGTCTGACTTCAGATCCATGTTCTTGACTGATATACTACCCTGCTCCTCAATCAGACTTCCTTTTCACAGTTTCTACATTTGTAGGAACTGTTCATTCCACTCAGTTCATCTTGTTTCTCATTACTTAGCTATCTCAGTGATAGAACACTTAGTTTCATCTGCTAGCTAGATGTAGACAAGAGAATTTTTTCTTATAAACACATTCTCCCTTAGGCATAGAAGGCTTCTTAATATGGCACAGAAGGTAGGGGGGTAGTTTGGGCCAGTATGGAATCTAGATTCTGACACTCTTCTGTGACATGGGACAGATCATTTAGTTCAAGCCTCATCTTCTTCATCTGAATAGTAAGAATATTATTTCTTTGGAGAGTTGAGGGAGAATTAAAAGACATAAAGTAAGGAAAGTCTCTAGAATAACATCTAACAAATGGCAGATGCGAAAAAAATGGCTGCTTAAGAAACAAAAACAAAACTCTCATTTTATAGACAGGAAAACGGATTTGGAAATGTCTTGCTAGGGGAACAGATGCTCTGCTTTCTCTATCCAATTTCCATGATTCTAGCATCCCATGATGCAAGTTCATTGGAACTACTAAAGGCATTCTGTTATGTGATTTCTGCCTTAGTCAGCTCCGGCTGTAATAACAAAATACCATGAACTGGTTGGCTTATCAACAACAGAAATCTATTTCTCACAATTCTGGAGGCCAGAAGTCTGAGATCGTAGTTCCAGCACGACTGGGTTCTGGTGAGGGTCCTTTTCCAGGCTGCAGGTGGCTGACATCTCATTGTATCCTCACATTGTAGAAAGAGCTAGATAACTCTCTGGAAACTCCATTCATGAGGGCTTCATCCTCCTGATCTAATTACCTCTCAGAAGCTCCACCCCAAATACCATCATATTAGAGATTAGGATGTCAACATATGAATTTTGAGAGGACACAATATGCAGATCATGCAATGTCCTTAACAATATCCATTCAGGCTGAAAGATATTTTTTTCCCTTGAATTAGGAAAAAAGAGATAATTTTTCACAGTTCCAGATCTGTAAAACAGGGATAATAATACCTGTATTCTAGGGTTGTAAAGATAAAATGTACTAAGACATGTGAAACTATTTTAACAGATATGAAATGTTTTATAAATGTGATTATTAAACATTTTTATGTAGTGCCATAAATAAAAGATAGGCGAAAAAGAGGAATGATTGGAATTTTATAACATATAATTGAAATTAAAAGGAATTTTGAAAAATAGGAGAAGTGATCAGAAAAAAAATGTAGCTCACAATAAAAAAAGTGACATTCAAAGAAAAGCAGTAAATGACTTTTAAAAACACCCTGTGTTCATTACAAATGCAAATAAAATTGAAGATTGCATTTACCGTATTTTTAAAGACAAGTGAAAAAGATGTACATGAGAATTAAAAAAATAAAAAAAAATAATGCTAAGCTTATTAAGGGTGGGCAATGCTGTGCCAGGGTGCAGTTAGGCATAGTTGGGCAAACAGTTGCTTTCACATGGTGTGCACTGTGACTTCCTGCTGACCAGAAGTATTTTGTCACCCTTCTCCACCAGATGTTACAGTGTCTGAAATTACACCAAAGACCGAGTCATCTGGGCTAGGGTTAATATTGTTATAAGGGTTTATCTATTTAACCTGATTTCAGTTCCTCCTTATTTCTTAAGATCACATTAGCATTGGAAGCAGGAAGAATGAACTCAACAGAGGGAATGGAAACTCACTCTTTATATTTTAATAAAGAAGATTTTACTAAGAAAGTCACATTTTCTACAATATAGTACTACCTGTTAACACAGAAGACTACATGGGGAGCTTACTCCGATTTTGCCAAACTTATAATGTCTTCTTAGTTCCAAAAGGAATATAAACCATATATTTATAAAATCTTTTATTAAAATATATATTTAAAGTATATATTGTCTTTTTTATAAATTATTTACAAGGAGGTTTACTCAAATCTTCGAAACAACATAGAATATAACAAAAAAAAATTTAACAGAGAACAATACATTTTAAATGTATTTCCTAAAATAAACAACTAATACTCTTTAGAAAAGATACAGGATATTTAATTACCTAGATTTTAACAAAATATTCCTTATGGAAAAGGATTATAGTATTAACCACAGAGCCATCAAATCTGTACCTAATCAAGAGAGTCAAACAGATCAGCTCTCATTCAACTTCTCTATTAGAAAGCACGGATTTGATGGAGCACTTCTGTTTATGTACAGCAGCAGCCTCTGCTGGAGAAAGGAAGTATCTTCTGTAACAAAGATCAGCTCAAACCTATTTTGAACTGGAAGAACTCAAAAGTTAGATGCCTTTCATTTCTCACTTAACCAACACAGTTAAAATTATTTTCAAGGTCTTAAAGATGTGCGGGCCTTATCAAGTATATCTTTTCTGATTTTGGGGTAAGATGGATGTGCTTCAAGAACCTGCGAAACAAACAAAAAACCTGTAAGAACTTGTAATTAATTACTGAGAACGAGGGAGCTACAAAACTTACTAGAAATGAGAATTATAGTTGAGATTTCTTTGTACTAATACTAGAAAAATTATAACATTTTAAAAATATGACATCTTTTTTTTTTTTTTTTTTGAGACAGAGTCTGGCTCTGTTGCCCGGGCTAGGGTGCCGTGGCGTCAGCCTAGCTCACAGCAACCTCAAACTCCTGGGCTCAAGCAATCCTACTGCCTCAGCCTCCTGAGTTGCTGGGACTACAGGCATGTGCCGCTATGCCTGGCTAATTTTTTCCATATATTTTTAGTTGTCTGGCTAATTTCTTTCTCTTTTTAGTAGAGACGGGGGTCTTGCTTTTGCTCAGGCTGGTTTCAAACTCCTGACCTTGAATGATCCTCCAGCCTTGGCCTTCCAGAGTGCTAGGATTACAGGCATAAGCCACCACGCCCAGCCTAAATATGACATCTTAAATGTAACTTGATAACTCATTTATATTAATAGTTAATTTGATGAGAACAGGAGAATATGAATAACACATGTGGAAAATATACCAATTATAACTGTTTCCTTAATAGATGAGTTATAGAAAACAATTATGCATCAATTTTAAAATATTTTTGTTATTCAGCTATTCATTCAGAATATTTAATAAACCTTTAGAGAGTGATTTTAACCAGGAACACACATAAGATTTATCTGAAATGATTTTGAGACATATACATTTCCAAGTCTACTGAGTGTAGGAGTGGGAAGATATTAAAAAAACAGAGCAAAAAACAAAAACCTACACAAATGATTCTAAAGTATTATCTTACATTAATGTAGAACCTTAACCTTAATGAGAAATACTTGCTTTACAGAGAAGCTCAGTAATCAATAGCAACTATTGAGGACAAGTATTTACCATAATGATGCTGACATATAACTTTCTGGGATAAGAGGGATTGCAGAATTCTTTTCTAAGCTGGAAGCTCCTGGAGCTAGCTGGAGCTCTCTACAATGTTTAACATAATGCCTTAAATGGAATATCAATGGGACAATGTATATAGAAAGAAACTACAAATTCTAAAACTGCAGTTTAAATATTTGTCATTTTAGTTGGGGATCATTTAGTAGGGGATAAATTACAGAATGTAATTAAATGACTTTTAAATTACAGAATCCCTTTTATCTCTAATTTATCAATCTGAATTTGCTAGTAGCCAGACTTAGACACATTCACAAGAACTTCTATTCAGGGTAATTATCTGGAGAATCTACACTATCTTCAAATATCTAACTTGAAGATTAAGTTTTTTTTTTTTTCTTTTAAAGATATACATTGTAACCAAAAAGATTAAGTTTTATTTAATATGTTTCTCCCACTAGTCTTTAAGTTGACATAAACATTTTACTGTTGACCTTAAAGTAAAAACACATTTGATTTAGGTAAGCTTTATTATTTTCTAAATTTTGAACACTGATAATCTGCCTGGAATATATTTGATAAGTCATTTAATTAATATACTATATCCTCTACTTCTATTCACATCTTCAGATTCTTAAAGTAGGAAATTGTACATCTGAAAAATTTTAAGAAATCTAAATTTAAGTGTTTACCTGGTGACATACGTCAATTGCATCCACATATTTTTTTGCTTTTAAATAATTAAATGCCAGTTTGTATCCTGTTAAGAAAAAAAAATCTCATAATGATATAGTACTATTTATAAAGCACATTGCTACAATTACTTTTTCTTGCCTCTTCCTTTGTTTGCTTACTCACCAGACAACTCATAAAGAAGGCTGGAGACTGAACTACCGTAGAGAGAAGTGATGTGATAATGGAAAGCAAGTGACATGAAAGAAGAGCAAGTAGAAAAAAAAAATGGGGCTGGAAAAAAGGACCACAATGAATGTACCATTGGTAAGAAGACTGCCATTCCACAAATGTGGTTTCTGGAACTTACTAGGAAAGTCTCACTTATTTCAGGTTATAGTAAAAACTCATCATAGGGCAGTAAATGACAATGCAGCTATCCATTTATACGGTATAGATTTATTTAGCAGTTAACACATCTGGCAAAGTGATTCCTACAGTCATCAGATTTACATTGTATTAGGAGAAAGAGTACATTGTTTAATAATCACTTGAATAAAAGAATAATTTCACAACTGAGATAAATGCTATAGAAGAAAGATCCAAGCTGAGTGAGTTATAATAAAGAAACTGATTAGGGATGAAGAGGGTATCAGATGTCTGAAATCTGAAGGATGAGGCACAAACTAGGCCTGGGTGGGAATCACGGATACTTTCAGGCAGAGGGAGCAGTATGAGCCAAGGCCAGCGGTTGGACACATAAGACACTGAATTAATTTGGAATGCATGGTGAGAAGTCACAGCACATAGGACAGCAACACAGAGGAAGGTGGATTAGTCGTCACATGTTCCACAGCAATGACCAGTAAGAATCGTCACAGTTACTGATATTGAAATGTCACACTTCAATTACTGACAATTAGAATGTTATAAGACATTCATGAATGATTATTGTTTTCCTGTAGAATGCTATAAACATGAGAACACTAAAGAGACACGAAAAGTAATAGTAGCTGTGTACTCAGTAAACAAGACATAACACAATGTAAATTAATATCTCATATTAAATATTTCATTTTACCTTTCAGAAATACAAAATAAGGAAATACGAGTGCTATTCTTGGGCTCTAACAAAAATACCAAAACAAATTTTTAAATTTTTTAAAATTTTTTCTTCAATTGATAAATAATAATTGTGTATATTCATGGGGTACATAGTGATGTCAAACAAATACTTGAAAAGAATTACTAATATAATCAGATCATAGTAAAACATAAGAAATAGCAACTATATAGAATTCGCAATTTTTTTTTCTTTTTTTTGAGACATAGTCTTGCTTTGTTGCCCTGGCTAGAGTGAGTGCTGTGGCGTCAGCCTAGCTCACAGCAACCTCAAACTCCTGGGCTCAAGCAATCCTGCTGCCTCAGCCTCCCATGTAGCTGGGACTACAGGCATGCGCCACCATGCCCGGCTAATTTTTTCTATATACATTAGTTGGCCAATTAATCTCTTTCTATTTATAGTAGAGATGGGGTCTCGCTCTTGCTCAGCTGGTTTTGAACTCCTGACCTCGAGCAATCCGCCCACCTCAGCCTCCCAGAGTGCTAGGATTACAGGCGTGAGCCATTGCACCCGGCCCCTGCAATTTTTTATATACAATCATGCACCACATAATGATGCTTCAGTCAACAGACCACATATACGATGGTGGTATCATAAGATTATAATACTGTATTTTTAATGTACATTTTTCTATGCTTAGATACACAAACTAACAGTCTATAAAACATTAGAATTAGATGATATTTCTGAGTGCTCAGGAGAAAAAGAAATGTCTCATGGTCAAATAATTGTGGGAAACATGGCCTCTCTGTGACATCTGCCACAATATACATTAGTACCTGGGCAACTTGATTTAATGCAATGTGTTCCTAACTTACCATTTTTGAAATAGCAGAGCATAAAGGGAGAGAAAAGGGCAGAATTAGACTGGATGTCCTCTAAGGCGACTGAGGACAAGTGTGGACCTCAGGAAATTATACTTAACTATTAGTACCTAATAATTTATTATGAATATAAAATTATTTTGGCTCTTAATGTATATTTTGTTCTTAAAAAAATCAAATGTGTTTAAATGAAGATTTACAAATAAAATACAATTTTCCTCTGAACACTTAACGAGTCTCATTTGCTAAACTCACCAACTGCTGGATTCGTCTGATTGCCATGTTTCCATGCCATCTCATAGTTTAGGGCAGCATCTGTATATGCTTGCTCTTTTTCCATAATGTATCCCATATATTCATAAGCTTTGCAGCAAGACTGAAAAAAAAAACGAAGATGTATCAACAGACTGCACTTGATACTACTAAGGTTTTATGGGATGTTTATGACTCTAGAGGTCAATCATATTAACCCATTCAAATGGCACATAAAACAATGGTTTCCCACTTTAGTGATGCCATCAAATTATTTATAGAACTTAATAAATGATTCTGATGCCAAGTCTGTATCCCAAATCTACAGACTCAGGTTTTATTTCTTTACATCAGAAATACTGTAAATATGTAAATATTTCCTTACATCAGAAATTACTTCAGAAATACACATCAGGCCATATGTATATTGTACACATACACATGTACACTATTTATTGTGAATAATTTTAACATACACAAATACAGAAATAGGAGTATAATCAATTCCATGAACCCATAGCTTATCTTCAACAATTAACTCATGACTAATACTGTTTTACCTCTACTCCATTTACTTGTCCTTCTGTATTAATAGAAAACAATCCTCAGATATGGTATCATTTCATCCATAAATATGTTAGTATGCATTTCTAAAAGACAGGCTTTGTTTAAATATAACCACACTTTATCACACCTAAAATGTAACAATTCCTTAATAGCAACAAATATCCTGTCATTATTCGAATTTCAAATTGTCTCTCACTCACTCTATCTGTAGTTTGTTAGAATGAAGATCCAAATAAGGCCCACACATTGTGACTGGTTGAAATGCCCTCCAAGTCTCTTTTAATCTAAAAGGTTTCTGCTCTGGCTGTCTTTTTTCTTGAAATTAAATGTAGTAGAAACAAGAATATCCTAGAGTTTCTCAAAACCCAGTTCAGTTGATTGCATCCTTCTGGGGTTTATATATTCCTATGTTGCTGATATTTCCCCCAAATTGTAATTAGATCTAGAGGTTTGGATTTGATTTTGATTTGAGGGAAGAAGAGTGGATCTGCTTAATTGATCAGTGTCCTGATGAGCCACATTGAAGCTTGAGGCAAAAGGAAAAATGCATAATCCTGGATGCAGGTTTTAATGTATTTTTTAATTATAACTTTTTTTTTCTAGAACATTAGTTTGAAAACATTGAAGAATTGAAAAGTAGGTATGTTAAAACACAACATTATTTTAAGATTGAATATTTTATTTATACCTATATCAAATTTCTTATAATTTTACTCTCTTACTTTAATGGGAAAAAATTTTATAATATTTTTATTAAAACCATTAACCATTTAAAAAACATAAAAATATGAATAAAAAGACAACATTTTCCCTTTTGATTCAGGGTACAAAATAGCTTGGCATGACACAGACCCTGTCTATTTAACATTTTGACGTTTCTAAAATTTCTTTTGATTTAAAAAATATTTCATTAAATTATTATTTATCTTGATGACTACATGTTTCACTTGTCTCACCCCAGCCTTGGTCTTCTCACAGAAGGTATGTTCTTCCATCAGGAAACACAGAATGTCTCATTCTCCCTCTTTTTGTGGTGTCATACCCATACATAAATTTATTAAGGTTGAGAAATGGTGATATTCTATCAGTCTTTCTTCATTTATCAGCTGAAAAATGTCTATAATGAGAAACGTGCCCTTATCTACTGTTTGGTTACCTAATAGTATATTTTATATAGAAAAGGCAGGATAAATGCTTAACTCTTTCCCTAAATTTGCCAACTTTAGAAATAACAAGTCAGTTCATTAGCATACTGCAGTGGTGACCAACTAGTTTTTTGTTTTTTTTTTTCTTTTTTGGATCTTTGTGAAGTCATAGATTTAAACAGATTTGATGTGTTTCAATCCACTGTAGTTGCCAGTATTATTGATACTTAAGAGTCCCAACTTTGGCTCCTGGGAGTGTCTCAAAGTTGGGTTCTAAGACCCTGACACAACTCTAATCATCTTTGATGGTTTCTTTGTCATCCAGTATGACAAGACAGTCTAGTGTCATCTTGTACATTTCCTGTCCCAGATCTGGATGGTTCCTCTTTTTTTGATTGAATAATTCAAGGTTCTGAAGCTTACTGAATCTCATGGTTCCAATATCAACATGTCTAACCAGCAGGACTGAACAAAGTCTCTAAAGTAGCAATCATGTTCCACCATGCAATGTATTGCTGTCAGCATTCTGGCACACTGAAATTCTGTGTGCATCAAAACCTTAATTCTCATGCAATCTTGGTTAATCCTAGACTAGACATATAAGGGTCAACTGTTCAGCAATTTAGATTTTCAAAGCCTATTAATGAGTATTCTCTGTTTTTCAAGGCCAATTTAACTTAAAATTGATGTAACTGATCATTTAGAATAGTCTATAAATTGATAAATGGCTGGATCTTTTAGGTTTTTAAGTTCCTAAGAAAGCATCTTAATAGTACTAGATAATCATAACTCTTCTTTGAAAAACAAATGATCCATTTGTAATCTAATTTGCTCAATGAGAATAAAACAGATTTACTGTGACTAAGATTTTGAAGTAATTGATATGAATCTGTGAAGATAAATACTGTAAAGTTTCAAGGTTGAGTGCAATTATTTCTCAACAAAATGTAATGCAAATCTTAACTTTAAAAAAACTGTCATAATAAAACATCTTTTTTTGGTGATTAAGCACCAAAATATTAGTAAAACGCCTTAAACGCTAAAGACTTTAAGATTTTCAATTTTATATCTAAAGAAAAGGAAGGACTTTTTATTAAACAAATCAAATTAAAAGCTGAAAAGACTTTCCCTCACAAAATATATTATGCATAGTGGATTTTAATAATGTGGAAATGACATGCAGCTGCAGTAAATTCATCAAGAGTATTTCTTAATAGGAGGGACAGACGTCCGCAATTAATGTTGTTCTGCAATTTTCATTAGATCTGGGATGAGATGGATAATCACAGGCAAATGCTTGACATTCCAAAAGCACGTTCCACTAAGTAGGGCATCACTACAGCTGAAACTTGAAACTGCATAAATCTCTCTCTTTTCCTTTCAGAGGCAAATGTCTTTCTTACTTATTGTTAATGTTTCTTTCCTGACTGTGGTAAGAATAAACATTTAATTTTCAAAAAACACACAGGAATGCTTTCAAATGGACCAACACCCTATAATACCTATTATAGAAAGCTTATGTACCAAAAGTTAACAATTTTTTCCTCTTCACTTACTCTATTATGACGTAGGCACCGTTTTAACAGCTCTTCTGCCATGTCATATTTTGCTGATTGAATATAAATATCAGCAAGTAGCAGCCAACTCTTCTCAAACTCCTCAGCATCAATAGGATTCCAGTTCATTTTTGCAATCCGCTTCAGCTGGTTTCTGGCTCTTGGAGTCTGTTTCAAGATCATATACGCCGTTGCCATTCCCAAGAGTGCTGGGATATGATCCTTCTGTAAGAAAATGAAACTTTAGACCACTAGATACACAAATATAAATGTCTTCTGTTTAAGAGAAAAACTTGGAAAGTAGAAAATGCTACATCGTATAAGAACTAGTCAGTGGATTCTCTTTCTAGCTCCACCACTGACAACTCTGATTATACCCATTATTTAACACATCAAGTGACCTCAAGCTACCATGAAGAAACTTGGTCAGGCACAGCGTGGTCAAGATAATTCAAGATAATGGCAACTATTTAGATGCCCTAACTACACAATTCCAATAATTAGTGGGACTCCATCTTCAATGGGATTGAAACAGCCATATATTAGGTTTGTATAGAAACAGAAATAAAATTCTTTTTCAGTAAAATCCTTATTGAGCAGTGTGTATTTCAGATTTAACATTTGGCTCCTTCGTCCTTTCACCTGTCAAAGAGGAATAGAACAGTGATTTATCTGCAAATGACAATCCTTATCCATACTAACTCCTATTGCT